TAACTGAGAGAAGCGCTCGCCGGAGACCGCTGCGCCCTGAAACACGGCAGGGTTGGCAAACCGACCTCCTGAGGGCACTGAGGAGAGACGGGCACCGTGTAATGCGGTGTGAACCTCTCTTCCCCAGAGGGGCCTGCCCTCCGAGGTCCTGAGCCACAGCATCAGGACCCTCATAGCTGAAGTCTCCTATTGAAAACGACGGCCCTCAGACCCACGTCGTCTGCTAGGAAGACTAGACCACAGCCCATCTAAATACCTCCGTAGAGGTAGCAAGCCACTTAGTACCGCTATGTTTCCGGGCGGTAACTGAGAGAAGCGCTCGCCGGAGACCGCTGCGCCCTGGAACACGGCAGGGTTGGCAGACCGACCTCCTGAGGGCACTGAGGAGAGACGGGCACCGTGTAATGCGGTGTGAACCTCTCTTCCCCAGAGGGGCCTGCCCTCCGAGGTCCTGAGCCACAGCATCAGGACTCTCATAGCTGAAGTCTCCTATTGAAAACGACGGCCCTCAGACCCACGTCGTCTGCTAGGAAGACTAGACCACAACCTGCTCGGGGCAGGACCCAATGAAGCACACTTGGCAGGGCTCCCACACCGCCGGGTGACCTCCTAAGGGAACCAGTCTCGTGAGACTGGCCTGTGGTGCGCCTAGAGCAGCTAGCTCAGTGCCCTGAAGCAGCGGACCGGCAGGGGATGAAACTGCTTGACAGTGAGTGACTGGCCTTCTTTCACTCTCTTGACTGTAGTGAGGATCGACTCGATCCGAGCAGGAGACAAACGTGCCTGCATCGTGGTCGAATCCCACACCACGCCCAGATAGGTGGTTCTCTGTAATGGAGAAAGCACACTCTTCTTGGCGTTTAGTCTTAACCCCAACTCTCTCATGTGAGCGAGAACAACATCTCGATGTCGAACCGCTATCTGCTCTGAATGAGCTAAAATCAACCAATCGTCGATGTAGTTGAGTATGCGGATGCCCTGGAGTCGCAACGGAGCCAGAGCAGCATCCACACACTTCGTGAAAGTACGGGGTGAGAGTGCAAGGCCGAAAGGAAGAACACGATATTGGTACGCTTTGCCCCCAAAAACGAACGTCAGGAACTTCCTGTGATGAGGAAGGATGGAGATATGGAAATACGCGTCTTTCAGATCGATCGTGACAAACCAGTCCTCGGACCTGATCTGAGACACGACTTGTTTGAGTGTGAGCATTCTGAACTTCAGTCGCATGACTGAGCAGTTCAGTAGGCGCAGATCTAAAATAGGACGCAACCCCCCATCCTTCTTCGGAACAATGAAGTAACGGCTGTAGAACCCGGAGTCTATCTCGTGCGGAGGGACCACCTCGATGGCCTCCTTCCTTAAGAGAGTAACTACTTCTTGTTCTAATACCAGAGCCTGCTCGGGACCCACTAGAGTGGGGGTCCCCGTTAAATCGAGGCGGACGAGAACCGAACTGGATTCCGTAGCCTCTTTCTACAGTACGCAGGACCCATTGAGATACATTTGGCAGTAGCTTCCACGCTGCTAAATAATCTACTAAGGGAATCAGTCTCTCGAGACTGATCTCTGGTGTGCCCAGAACGGCTATTTCGGTGCCCTGAAGCGGCACACCGGCAGGGGATGGCCAAACTAGCTGCTCATGATACCTCCGTAGAGGTAGCAAGCCTCTTATTACCGCTACGTTTCCGGGCGGTAACTGAGAGAAGCGCTCGCCGGAGACCGCTGTGCCCTGGAACACAGCAGGGTTGGCAGACCTCCCTCCTGAGGGCACTGAAGAGAGACGGGCACCGTGTAATGCGGTGTGAACCTCTCTTCCCCAGAGGGGCCTGCCCTCCGAAGTCCTGAGCCACAGCATCAGGACCCTCATAGCTGAAGTCTCCTATTGAAAACGACGGCCCTCAGACCCACGTCGTCTGCTAGGAAGACTAGACCACAGCCCCTCTAAATACCTCCGTAGAGGTAGCAAGCCTCTTAGTACCGCTACGTTTCCGGGCGGTAACTGAGAGAAGCGCTCGCCGGAGACCGCTGCGCCCTGGAACACGGCAGGGTTGGCAAGCCGACCTCCTGAGGGCACTGAGGAGAGATGTGCACCGTGTAATGCGGTGTACACCATTCTTCCCCAGAGGGAGCTGGCCCTCAAAAAGTCCTAGGCATCAGGACATTTACGACGAAGACTATCCAGCGAGAATGACGGTCCGCAGACCCGCCTTCTGCTAGAAGCCTTCGGCCTGGGAGCGCCACTCTGACTCTAGACTCTGCGGAGTACGAGAAGTGAGGCCCCCAGAATGAGGGGCTGGAACACGGTAGGTTGGGACTGCTCCGCCCAGCAGCCCCTGCTAACCGCCTCAACCTCCTCAGAGGAAGAGAGGTTAATGCGTGCTCTCACTCGAGAAATTTATATCCCAAGAGCCCCTGTATATCTAACTTCTCATAGTCAGACAAATACTTCATTTTATTCCTCAGAATTAAATGCAATCAAACAACCAGACGAGTAAATACGGTCTAGTGTAGTAAGATTCATATCAAAAACCGAAATTATGTAATATATGCGCTGCGCGCGAGCCTCTCAGTCACACAAACAACAAAAACTCCTCAGAGAAAGAGGGCCGCAGCACTCACTCAGAGGGGGAAGAACCGCAGCGCGGGCTTCCAAGCCCCGAGAACGAGCTCTAGATCTAGCGAACACGGGTGGAGATAGGAAGAGCCGTCTCCAACCCGTCTGCTAGATCATGTGCGATCTCCGCGTTCTCAGTCGCCGCCGTTTGCCTCAGCAGCAGCGGGACCGCAATCGCAAGATCACAGGCACGGACACACTCCTTGGAGCGTGCCCGGCGAGAGCGGAGCGCTTAACAGCGGAAAAAACAATCCGCCCCCGAGAGCCGACTGCGCGAGCTCCGCTCCCTATTAATGCTGCTCATTATAATATCAGGCATAATATGCTTGTGTTACTGATGTTTGTGCAACTGGCGAGTTTATTGACGCCCTCCGTATCAATCTCCTCGGAGAAAGACAGGCGGAGCGTCGCGCCCTCTCTCCGGTGGGAAGGACCGCAGCGCGGGCTTCCGAAACCCCGAGAGCGGGCGCCGGATCTGGTGATTAGGAAGCAGATCCATACGCGAAACCCACGAGCACAGCCGCCGCTCCGCCTCGGCGAAAGCGGGGCCGGCACCGCGAGGAACGCTAGTGAAGGCTCCCTCCTCAAAGAGAGCCCTCTGAGAGCGAAGCAAGGCAGTAACAACTGTGCTTCGCTCCCAAGCAAACCACGCACAGGCTGTGTGTATCCCCACTCGTGATATAACGTGGGCAGGGAGGAACACACAACCTACAACGTGGCTTGCTCTCGCCCTTGAAATGCTTTGTCTTTGCATGAGCTTAGACATAGCTGGAGCTTATAGACTTTCACAATTGACAGACAACAATAAATATGACTGACACACACAGAGCGCTTCGCTGAATGACAGAAAGCTGACGCTGGCTCCGCCGCACGTGCTTTTATAGCTTCCTGGTCATGACGTCACCCGCCCGTGACGTCCCGCTCAGCTATTGGACTGATTTCACATGTTATTCAGAGCGTGGTCACAGAAGGCGTTCCCCTAGCGTTTTCCGACGCAGCTCGAGTTCCTGAAGAGGAAACCTTTGTTTATGCAAATCCTTGATTTTTTTTTTTCTTTTTTTTCTCCAGCATCTGTGAAACGCATCTTTCCCATTGAAATCACTTTCTCTGTTGCAGCATAAATGGTAATTTGCTGGTGACCTTAATATAATTAGCTATATGTAAGCATAGACATATTTAGTCAAGTCTACTTGCCGTTGTAATTTACAACATGCAGAATCCTGTAGATTTCTCACATTTAATTATATTTTATAACATTTCTGACCTTTTTAAACCTTGATGAGAGTGCTGTTGGTGCATAGAAAAGGATTAGCATTTCTGCATTCATTAAACGAAATATGCCGCTCGCAACTATACACTATTTCATGATTAAATGTTTGTGTTCTGTTTATTACCAAAGCATGACTAAAGTGTATTATGCTTACCTGGTTTAGCAACCTTCTGTATCACCAAGAACACTCGAAAATTTGTATTTCAGGTTACCCGAGTGCAACTCATCCTTCTGAGAGATTTGCATTAGAGATTTGCATTATATATGCTTATACATACATCTTCATAATAACTACTGCTAATTTAGGATGATAAACTATATTTGTCTGCATCATGAACGTATTCTGTCTCCACCGCAGTCTCTGCAAATGACTGAATCCAAAGGTACTGCATTATGGCAAGCCTTGTTAAACAGCGAAATATTGATTATAACTAGGAGCTAATTAGTTACGGACTTACTGTGCCAAGCATCTGTTGTTTTGGGTCTCTGGGAGGAAATTTCATAAATTACTTATTTTAACGGAATAGTTCACCCAAAAATGAAAAATCTGTCTTCATTTACTCATCCTCACGTTGGTCAACTTTCATAAAAGATGAAATAGCATGAAGGAAATGTCCAATCTACTCTTTTCCATTCAACGACGGTGGATGCTGTGAGTAAATGATGACAAAAAATGTTCATTTTGGTCGAATTTCCATTATAAATTGCCATTTTTCTTGCATAATGTAACATCTTTTAAAGTGAAAGGAAATATTAAATGAAAAAAAAATGGTAAAGAGTGGTTGTCTGACATCGCAGTGAAGCCACATTGATTGTAGAAACGGACTAAAAGCTAATTGGGTATTGATTGATTAACATTATCAAAGGAAATTCATTTCAGAACAAACCATTCCTCTTGGAATAACATGTGTTGATGAATATTTTACAGTAAGACCAGCAGCATGCATTAGTAAAATAGGGGGGGGGGGTCCATTTTGATCCCATGTTGGCTTGAACACATTAAGCAATGGTGCCATACTCGTAATTAATTGTCTTTTGAGATGTTTCCTTTCTTGTGGTATTTTGCAACCATATGAAACATTGAAATTGTTTGTCCATCTCATCTTTTCACAGGAGATTCAACATGGCCGCTGCTGTCGTCTTGCATGTTTGTTGGATCCGGGCTTGAACTCGCCTGCGTTCTTCCTCGAGTGCTCTTAGAGTGCATGATGTCAATGCATCTCTACTGCCTTTCCAAGATGAACGACTGAAATATGAACCTCATTCAAGCTTTCTGGACCTCCAGTCCGGCGTCTGATTAAATCAAGGCCCTCAAACGACCATCCGAGGGGGGAATAAGGAGTAGACGTGGCTGCTGGTTGGTGGCGGTGGAGGACGAGGAGGTGGCGGAGGAGGGGGGTTTGGAAGCCATCTTTATCCTTTGGAATATACCATTTGTGGAATACAACTGTGTGTTTGGAATATCGCAGAACTTTGGGAGTTTCACTGTAGTTTTTTTAATCCTTTTGGAATATTGGGAATTTGGCTCCTGTTCGCAGTCATGAAGGTGAACCCGAGCTCTTGTTTGTGTCCTGTACTTTTGTGCCTGTGTTTTCTGGAGAGGGGTTATGAGGCGAGCCATCACGGCCAAGCCAAAATCATTTCCAGGAGCCACAATGCAACTCACAGCCACAACCAGACTAAGGACGGGGAAACAGAGGTCCACCATCGGCCCAAACGAGGATGGATATGGAACCAGTTCTTTGTCTTAGAGGAACACATTGGTCCAGATGCACAATATGTAGGAAAGGTAAGCGTGACATTTTCAGTTCTGGTTTGATAATCTGGTTTGCCTGGTCTAGTTTGCAGGTTTTGGGGCATTTGTGAGCTTGGCCGACCAGCTAAACCAGCGTGCCAATGCAGGCAGACCAGGTTGACCAATTTACCAACTTATTAATCCAATATAAGTTGGTCTACCTGGTTCGTGCAAAAAAAAAAAGTAATACATAATTATTATTTAATTTTATTTAATTTTATTTTATTTTATACCTTTAGGCAATGAATAATGATTTACAGCCTGCTATTAGACAAAACATTGGAGTGCACAAGTCTTTGGTTTGTTTTCCTTGAAGGGAAAGTCCTTCAGTCCTGCAGTCAGTATGAAAATTTTGAATTTAGACCAGCCTAAGGTTGTTTGGTAGTCTTAGCTGAATTAAATTGGTTGCGGTTTCCCAGCCTGACCAGCTGATAAGAGTCCAAAACCCCTTTAAACCATCAAATAGACCAGCCTGACCATGTTGGCTGGTTTTAAGACCACCACATACATTGGGCTCGTTGATGTTATTTTTAACATGGATATAACAGCAGTCTAATGTTGAAACATGTAAGACCCTCATGAACAACATAAATTTGTAATTCAAGCAAGTGACCTTTTGCTCTTTCTCTGACCTTATTCCATCACTTGTCTACACCCGCAGGCCTTGATCGATAACATCTTTGCATGGAGTTAGCTTAGCACAGCAAAACAGCAGCTGAGGACTGCAGCTTGACTTATTGGTTCATGTTTGAGATTCGACAGCCTTCATCATTTTGGCTAGAGTCATGCCGGTTCTCCTGTGTTTGCCTCATGGGCTTGTCGATCTTGTGAAACATGAATTTTGTGTCCATGCCAAATTGCAAATAGGGCCATGAATCTATTAACATTAGCAAGTCAGTCTGCAGTCAACATGGAAACTTTTGCACTGACCACATTTGTGTATGTTTTACTATATGAATGCTATAGAGATATAGCATATAGAGAGCTTTATGTGCGTGAAGGAAGTATTACTTTTAGGATGATTTCATTTTCAAATATCTTCTTTACTTTTATAGTTAATGAAAATCAAATAGCTATTTCAGACTATTGCTTTTTATATTTGTGTGTCATTTTCACTATTTTTTTTCCACAATACTGTTTGAAAATATTAGACTTTGAAAATATTGGCAAAAATAAATTAAATAATGTGATAAATGGACTGTAGACATGACATGCCAATTTAACTGTCCTGAAAAAAAAGCAAGTCATTTGTTTCTTACATTTTCATAATCTGGCCATGAATAAACATTTCTTTTATTTAATTAATTAATTCATTTATTTATTTATTTTACCATTTAAAATAAAATGTGTAGAAATTGTCCTGCAGTGTAATCTTAATCATAAATTGAAGTAAAGAAACAAATGAAAGACATGCGTATTCAAATGGAAAACATTTTTAAATTATTAATTGTCATTTAAATTAAGTTGATTTTACCTTATAATAATATTTCACATTATTATTATTATTATTATTATTATTATTATTATTATTATTATTAGTTTTGCTGTTGATCAAATAAATAAATTATTGTTGATCAAATAAATGCAGCCTTGGTAAAACTTAGAGACTCCTTTCAAAAACCTTAAAAATATTCAAATATGTATAATATAATTATTTTAAATATGATGTGGAAATTATTTTAAATGAATACAATTTTACACTTCTGTGATACTGCACATTTTAGATTATATATATTTTTTATTCCATTGACCATTGAAATTCCACTGACCATTGAAATTCACTACTGAAAAAATTATATATATTGAAGAATCCATTTGTCAGATATAAACATATTCATCATCAAGGTACCTTTTCACATAACAGTAGCAGTCCAATGAAAGACACACCGGCACTGTCCTTGAACTCCCCAGTACTCAAAAACTGCATTAGGCATTGTAAATTGATTCAATAAGCGTTGTTTAATGGGTACTGTGAGACTGTTAGCGGGGGGTGCTGCTCCATCCCAGTGTCCTCCTTTTATTCTCTTTGTGTCTCTCTCTTTCTGAAGCAGAGATTGATTCAGCAGGTCATGTCCGTGTGCTTTACGTCTCTTTACTGAAGCGTCACACAATGAGGCCGCAGGAAGCTGGTTAAGTTGTCTGTGTGCAGATTGACTTTTCTTATCTTCAGAAATATGGAAATGTGTGGCGGTTGATCATTATTCAGGGTACTCAAGCATAAGGTAATGCAGGGAGAAGAACGACAGACGTGCAGACAGAGAAAGAGAGAAAAGAGACAGACATTATTTCTCACTTGCTGCTTTCAAATCGTGTTGGAATGATGGTGTTTATGAGGTGAGCGGTCAGGAAGGGCATTATATGTTGGAAAATGAGCAAGATATTTGTTAGCATTCACATGCATCTTAATGGCAGCTGCTCGGCTCTTGCAGGAGGTATGCAATTTGAAATGTTTTGTTTTTACATTTTGGATTTATTACTATTTGTTATGTGTTGAACTTATTTATTTATTTATTTATTTGTAAAAAAGAAGCTGCAGTGCATGACATCATATCACAACCATTGCAGTGTTTGAAGAAATTTTGCACGCTCAAAGTCTAGTGTGAGCAAGACTTGATATGATCATTGCTGCAGAAATATCTACTATGTCCTCCTGACTACCAGCTATGGAGTTTCGTTACATGTTACAGTTTTAAGTCTGGATGTCCTATACAGAGCACCTTCATGGCTTTTCAGAGATACCAAATGATTGGATGTTTCACCATGACCACTCCCTCTCCTTGGTCTTTAAACATGGCTGACATTAATTTAGTGATCAAGTGTAACACCCTTATGGAAATATGATCTTATTTTGTAATTATCATTTAAATCTGACTAATTGTTTAATTGTTTGTCATAAATCAACATCTCAGGAAAATGTTATGGGGTTTCAAATCAAAATATGACCCCCTGTTATGAAACAGGACATCGATGTCATACATGTCCACTGTAGAGGACACCAGGACTTAAAGCATGTTTATTACACATTTTGGGAGACACAACAAATGAATAGAGAAAAAAATAGATATCAATATTCCTATTAAATATTAGATATTATTATGAAAATCATGCTAATTATTGCACTTATTTGTTCATTCTGTGTTACCCCAAGAACACATTAATATGCAAATTAGATACAGTTTATAGACACATTGTATATAATGGAAAAACTCATTTATGGCCATTTTACACACATTTTGCATAAAGAAAATGGTTTTTAAAAATATTTTTCATAACATAGTTGAGAGTCATCTTTATATAAAGTTTGGTATAAAAAATGAAAATTGATTTGTGATTAAAATAAAAATCCCACAGTTTTTTGTCTTTTCATGTCTATTCATGACTTTTTATAAAAAATAAAAAAAAACACAGGACTTTTTAAAGTCCTGATGTCCTCACATGGCATAACATATGAATAAAATATCATTTTTCATCCCACTGTTTTTTGTCTTTTCATGTCTATTCATGACTTTTTATAAAAAATTTAAAAAACACAGGACTTTTTAAAGTCCTGATGTCCTCACATGGCATAACATATGAATAAAATATAATTTTTCAAAAATTAAATTTTTCGATTTATTTTTCTTATGCTCTTAACAATGTAATGACATGACAAAATACTAAATTCACAAAACTGTTTTTTTCCTGTAGTCAGGAGGATATTATAATGAAATATTTGCAATTAAAGTGCTGCTTGCAAAAATAAAACGTTTTGTCTAAATATGCAGCTACTTACTTGATCAGTAGAATTTAAATGGAATTATGAAACCATAATAGAGGAAGCAAGTTGCTTTTAATCTTAAGTTATAATTTTGCCATACTTGTAGTGTGAACATATTTCATGTACAAAGTTATTTAAGTGTGTGTTTTATTAATATTTTGAATTAGTTTTTATTATATTTTTACAGTGTGTACATATATAAATTTTAAAATATATATTTCAGATATTTAAGTACATTAAGTGTATTAAAATTACATAAATTTTTTATTTTAATTGTAGTTTTATTTATTTGAGTACATTAAGTGCATTAACATTAGTACATTAAAAAAGTATCAGCTAAATTCAAATGGTAAATATTGATAAATTAATCTAAAGTAACTAAATTAAACATGAGAAATTGGCAACTAGCTGATTTTTATTTGTTTTTAAAAAAAAATCCAAGTAACAAGTTTCAAGTTTAGATTTTTTTTTTTTTTTTTTTTTTTAAATTTTTTTTTTTTTTTTTTTTAAATTTTTTTTTTTTTTTTTTTTAAATTTTTTTTTTTTTTTTTTTTAAATTTTTTTTTTTTTTTTTTTTAAATTTTTTTTTTTTTTTTTTTTTTAGTTTAGTTTAGTTTAGATAACTACAATGAATGACCCTGACTCTTGGAGAAGAATAGTGAATATACTGCTTTTACTGGTATTTTAGTGAATATAATACCAGAAAATACTGCTAATTTAGCTGGTTTAATGTTGTGATGGACAACATTTCCCATCATTCTCTGTGCATGAATGATTTATACAAAGCATAAAATACAGATCAAGCGTAAATTAGTCCCCAGACATCCCTTTTCCCCCACCTAAATTAGAATACACATCTCAGCATAATTCCAACTTCTGAGCTCATAAGTACAAACTTCCCAAGAGGACTTGAAGGCAGCAATGGAAAATTGCCTCTGCGAGCGAAAATCAAGTACAAAAATGCATCTGTGTGACAATAAGATGAGGAAAAAAAGGTTTATATTTACATTTTTTAGCTGTAAGCACGGCAGGCCAAATGAAAGCAAAAGCCTTTCTGAGCATTTATATTGAGTAAAAATATATTTTGTGTGTTCAGCTGGAAAAAATGGTGATATTAGCGGGATAGACAGAACTAGACGATTTATTTTCGTGTGGCCTGACATTGTAACAATACAATTGTAATACATTGTATTGTGTATTAAACAGATGGCAGTTATTTAAAATTGCATTACTTCAA